ACAAAAGAATTGGCAACTCCCTCTTAGAGAAGCCCACACCCGTACTCTTAGATGTTTTAGCTTTCCTTCTGGGTCTCTTAACCCTAAACTGAAACATCCCTGTCAAGGGCTGGAGGGATGGTTAAGAGCACTGGCTGTTCTTCCAGAGAACCCAGGTTCAGTTCCCAGTATCCACGTGGCAGCTCACCTGTAACTCTAGTTTCAGGGATCCAGTGTCTCTGATTACCCAGGCACCAGGCATTACAGAGTACACTTATAGATATGCAGACAAAATATTCATATCCATAAAATAAGCCAATAGTTTTATTTATGTCCCCAAGACATAAAACTTAAAAAATTTCCCTATGGTCAAACATGTCCTCCTACTTTTGCTCCACGGAGAGCCCATTTTTGGATACTCACCCTGCATCAAGCCAAAAAAGAAGCTCCAGCCAAGAGAGGCCACAGTTGTGGCCATTTTGGCCAAGAACCACTTGTTCCATTAGCAGCTATTGTGGCCCCAAGACTTTGCAGAACAAGGCAATGAAGTGAGGTGAAATAAACAAAAAGTCTTTTCTGAGCCAACTAACTGGTCTACGGTTGGGAGCTGTGCGGCCTAGCTTTGCACTAGTATATAAGTGCTTGTCCAGCGGGTCTCCAGATGAGGCAAAAGCTCACCGGGACAGTCTGAACTGGCAAGGACCAGTGGACTTCGGGACAGCCCAGAATACTGCTGGGATGGCGCGGCCTGCCTGCTCTCCTCTCTTGTAATATTGATGGTTATTTTGGTTTTAGTGTCATTTTGTTGTCAGTAATGCCTGGGACAGATGTGATCATTCCTGGAACCCCCGCTTTTTTTTTCAAATATTTTCTCCTAAAATTCTTGGAAGCTGATGCTTCTCAGGTTTCTTGTCTGGGGATGCCAGTTGTCACTCTAGACCCCGGAAGCTGCTCTGATTCAGGGATGACAGGATTGGAGGAAGATTACCCTATTTCTGTAAATATGTTTGCATAACATTGTTCTTGAAAATCTGTGCTTATGTCAATCACTGTTTAGTTTAGTAAAGACAGGATGTACCTGGCTCAATATTTAGTCAAGCTAGCAAAATGAAGTGGGTTTGTTTGTTTTATTTTGGTTTAAAGATATTTTGATGTAAAAGTTGGGAGAAAACATATTAGACATATTTGTTTTTGCTGGAGGTTAATGTTAGAGGATGGTAAAAACTTGTTTGCTATTATGGAAAAACATCCTTGTTTTTGATGTATAAATAAAGACTGCTGCAGCTATTCAGGGCTGGCCAGTTGTATGAAACTCATCTGGTGGTAGGACACTTTATTTCTTCTTGCAGATGCCCCTTCTCCATCTCAGGACCTGAACCCAGACTTCGGCAGGACCACAGCAGTCTCCGCCTTCTAGGGCCAGGTGTCAGGGTGTCAGAACCAGTGCTGGATGGGAGAGGGAAACTTGGATTTGAGTTGGGTTCTGGGTTTTGACTTAGAACCCAGCTAAACTTCATTGCTCATTCTATTTGCTATCTCAGTCTTCTGCTTTCATCATCTGGGTCCCAGGTATCCCAGGTATATCCCAGGTATAGAAACTTGGAGCATCAGCTTGGCAGGAGGTTCCTTTACCTGCTAAACCCTCATCAGCCCGTGGCTCAATCTTAAAAATTCAGAACTGACTGACTGGACTTGGGATGTGGCTCAGCCAGTAGAGGGCTTGTTTAGTATGCACAAGGCCCCTGGGTTACATTTCCAGAACTTCACAAACCGGGTGTGGTGGCACAGGCTCTTAATTCCAGCATTGGGGAGGCAGAAGCAGGAAGATCTCCAGTAGTTCAAGGCCAGCCTCATCTACCTAGTGAGTTGCAGGCTAGAGAGGGCTACTTAGAGAAGGAGGCCCTATCTGAAAAGGCAAGCAAACAAACAAGTCATTGGAGAGTAAAAGACCTGATAAAAGGTGAGAAAAAAAGTCTTTTTAAAAATCACATTGTGTGTCTGAAGGTCAGAAGACAATTTGGGGGAATCAGCTCTGATGGGTCCTAAGGACTGAACCCAGGCCTCGGGGCTGGTGGCAAGTATCCTAACCTGCTAAGCCATCTAGTTGGCCCAGAAAAGAGTTTTAACAGAATAGGCCTAGATCAGTTATTAGCAAAATAAAGCCTTCTTGTGCTTACAAATCTTGATGATAATGGTTCCCAATGGGCTGGTTGAAGAGGGCCTCTGGTCATCCCTCATGTTCAAGCTGGGTCTCCTGACTCCCATCCTTGTGTTTTCCCCACCTGCACCACTAACACAACACTGCTGGTGCCTGAGAGTTCTGTGTAACAATGCCTCTTCCTCAAGTCCTAAGCTGTTACTGCAGAAGTCATGACCTTAACACATGTATTTTGAAATAACTGACCTCTGCCCAAGTCTGTTGCTTTAACAACACAGGCTTATCAACTCCAAGGCCAAAGAGACATTCAAGGGTGGCTTCAGAGTTGAAGCAGACTATAATAGGCTCTCCCATCCTTTACGTTGTTTACGGACACCCACGCTGCTTTCTCTGGAGCTCTCTCCAGTGTCCACCCTACAACCTACCCCATTCACCCACTCCAGGGTCTATCTGAGCAACCCCCTATTCTTATGTGTATGTTTGTATGTGTGTGGGTTCACGTGTGTGAATACATGTACATATGTGTGTGTTCATATGGAATATGATGTCAGGAATAATCTCCGTCACTCTTCTACCTTGTTCGGTGAGTCAGAGTGTGGTTGTTTGAATGAGAATGTTCCCATTGACTCATATGTTTGAATACTTGGTCCCAAGTTTTTGAATCTATTTGGAAAGTATTAGGTAGTGTGTTCTTGTTGCAGGATGTGTGACATTTTAGGGTGAGGTATGTCACTGGAGGCAGGCTTTGAAGTCTCAAAAGCCCATGGCATTCTGATTAGGTGCTCTGCCTCATGCTTCATAGCAATAGAAGAGTAAGAGATAGGGTCTCTCAATCAAACCCAGAGCCCATTGAGGCTAGAATGTGGCCTTGTTGGAGGAAGTATATCACTGAAGGTGGGTGGGGTTGAGGTTTCAAAAGCCTATGGCATTCCCAGTCATCCCTTTCTCTGCCCTGTGCTTGTGGATCAGGATGTAGCTCTCAACTGCTTCTCTAGCCATTATCCCTGCCATTGTGATCATGGACTCCAACTCTCTGGCACTACGAGCCTTCAAATGAAAGCTTTCTTTGATAAATTGCCTTGGTCTTGGTGTTTTGTTACAGCAATAGAAAAGTAAGTAAGGTCAGGCATTGGTGGCGCACGCCTTTGATCTCAGCACTTGGGGGTAAGTTCGAGACCAGCCTGATCTACAAGAGCTAGTTCCAGGACAGCCTCCAAAGCCACAGAGAAACCCTGCCTCGAAAACCCCTTCCCCCCCCAAAAAAAAGGAGAGAGCCTCCAAAGCCACAGAGAAACCCTGCCTCGAAAACCCCTTCCCCCCCCCCAAAAAAAAAGGAGAAAAAAAAAGAAAAGTAACTGTGCTTGCTAGTCTCATGTCACCTTGACACAAACTAGAGTTGTCTGAATGAACAGAAACTTCAGTGAGAAAATGTTGCCATAGATTTAACTATAAGGCATTTTCTTAATTAGTGATTAATATGGGAGGGCCCAGTCCATTGTGGTTTCATCCCTGGGTAAGTGGTGCTGGCTTCTATAAGAAAGCAGGCTGAACAAGCCATAGGGAGCAAGCTAGTAAGCATCTTCCTTCTATGGCCTTTGCATTGGTTCCTGCCTGTTACGGAATATTTGTTCGCACTCTGTGAAGATATGTCACTGTGATTGGTTTAATAAATAGCTGAATGGCCAATAGCAAGGCAGGAGAGAATAGGTGGGACTTTTGGGTGAAGAGAGGAACTCAGGATGAATCTAGACACTTGAGAGACTCCACTGAAGAAGTCAGACACATGGAATAGAGGTGAGGTAGCCAAGCTACATGACAGAATGTAGATTAGTAAAAACAGACTAATATAAGTTATAAGAGCTAGTTGGGGAAAAGCCCAAGCTAAGGCCAAGCTTTCATAATTAATAATAAGTCTCCGGGTCATTATTTGTGAGCTGGTAGCCCAAAGGAAAGTCTGATTACACATGCCCTGTTTGAATTCCTGTTCTGACTTCCTTCAATGATGAACAGTGATACAGAAGGGTGAACCAAATAAAGCCTTCCCTCCTCAACTTCCTTAGGGGTCCTGGTGTTTTGTTGCAGTAACAGAAACCCTAACTAAGATAGTAAGATAAGGAAAAAGAGGCTCTACGTAGGTCAGTGTCCTTTTTGCCTCAACATTTCAGATGGCCAACTTCCTGCTTCTTCTCCCTTAGAAAGACATACAGAATGGACTTTTCCTCACTGTCAGGTGGGACTTTCAAATCTTCCATAAGGCTTTGATTAGGGTCTTGTGCCTCCACCACAATAAGACAGATGGCATCTTGGTGGGACTGCATGAGAAATGTGTAAGTCACTGGAAGATAGGAATCGAGAGAGCTGAGGCAGCCAAACTTGTAACCCCCTCTCTTGAGAACTGGTCCATTCTGTGATAGCAGCATCGGCACCTTCCAAGGGTTGCACTATGTCCGGTGATCGACTGCCTTCTACCGTGTCCCACCCATGAAAGACCACATCACCTTGTCACCTCCTCCAAGTGGGCTGCACTTCTAACACATAAGCCTTTGAGAGACACACTCAGAGCACACCCAAGCAGGAGCTGTCATCGTTAAAGTAAGTTGTTCTATACATTTATTTATTTGTTTGTTTAACTTACATATGTGTGCATGCACAGACATGAGCCACAGGGCACACCTAGAAGACATGTGGGCCATCAAAGGACAGCTTGTGGGAGGTCCCTTCCACCATGTGGGTGCAGACTTGATGGCAAACACATTACCCCCTGAGGATTATTTTAAGAGAATCTGCATTTCTCTGGGGGGTCCTCTTCACTGCTCTACTATTTTCCTTGTAGGAAATCTTAGTCCTCAAGTATGGGACACCCTCAGTGGAACCTGACTTCAGCATAATCAGGGTAGCTGTCTTGGGGGTTCTGGGTCTCCCACAGTCTGAGGCGGGAGAAGTTGAGGGCAGCATAATGGAGTTCTTCAGGGTTATTCTCAGAGACAGGAGCCTGAGAGGATGACTTGGGGTTTGGGCAACGAGGAGAAGTGAAATGTGGTTCCTTTTGTTTCTTCTTTGCTTCAGGGGAGTGAGTGTTTAGGGGCGGGATCCTGGAAGGGGTGTTGGGTTTGGCCTTCCAATTCTGAGCCTGAGGAAACAGCAAACATCCTTTACACATTCCCTCAGAAAGTAGTTGTGCACCTAGCATGTGCCAGGTACTGTCTTAAGAACTGGGGCTCTAGCTTTGGAGTAACACAAAGCAAGGAGCAAACAGCACGCAAACAAAAATATAATGATGACAAGTGGTAAGTGCCATGGAGAAGAATAAGCAGGGCTTGGGGTTGGAGAGACAGGTCAGCAGTTAAGAGTGAATGGTACATTTCCAGAGGACCCAGGTTCACTTATCAGCACTATCTCCTGACAGATCCTAACTGCCTGTAACTTCAGGGAATCTGAGCCCTCGTCTGGCCGCTACAAAAACTGTGTGTGCATATGTGCATGTGCACATACTACATACCACACACCACACCACATCCCACACACCACATACATACCACACACATGCACACAATTAATAGTAAAAATAAAACATAAACCCATAAACACATGGTGGCACATGCGTTTAATCCCAGCACTCAAGTGGCAGAGGCAGGTGGATCTCCGTGAGCTTGAGTCCAGCCTGGTCTACACAAACAAAATTAAAAGAAGAGTCATAGCTACAAATAAAATAGTCTCATTACAGAGAGATACTCCTGAGGTAGAGAGCATCTGTTAACTGCCCCAATTGGTAGAGAGCATCTGTTAATTGCCCCAATTTGATCACCGCACCGTGTGAATATAGTGGCACATTGTACCTATAAATAGACACAATTATTATATATAAGTGTCAAATAATAAGTCAACAGGTCATTCTGGGTTTCTTTGGTAGGGTGATTATCAAGCACAGAGGATTAAATGGAGCCAGGAGCTAAGCAGTTTCAGAAGGAAGGGAGGAAACAACAAATTCAAGTATTCTAACAGGGTCTGGGGTGCGCTTAAGAAAGAACAAGATGGGAGTTGAAAGTGTGGTTTGATGGGTAAATGTGCTTGCAGTGCAAGCTTGGAGGCTCAAGTTCCATCCCTGGGACCTAAAATTGAAAGACAAAACTGACTCCTGAAAGTTAGCCTCTGACCTCCACATCTGTACTGTGGCCTGCATGCACACTCCCCAGTAATAACGCTGATGAATAATTTGAAAAATTTAAAGAACAAGATGATCTCTGTGACTATGCAGTCCGTCTTGTAAGACAAGAGGAAGCTATCTACTTCAAAGTCTCTGGAGAAATCCAAATAAGTGATCGATGGGGGATTTAATAGGGAATTGGGGTGTTTTTGATTTGTCATTTTCTTCAACTTTACATTTTGGAATGATCATAGACTTATGAGAGTGTCAAAATGGGGCCAGTGATGTAGCTCAGGGCAGAGTGTGTGCCCAGTGATGTAGCTCAGGGCACAGTGTATGCCTAGCATGCACAGGGCCCCGGATTCTATCCCCAGCACTGCATAAATCAAGCGTGGTGGTGCATGCCTATTATGTCAGCACTCTGAGAGTGGAGGCAGGAGGATCAGAAGTTCAAGGTTGTTCTTGGCTATTCAGGGAAATCCTTGACTATTGAAGGGAATCTGAGGCCAGCCTGGGATACAAGAGAGCCTTTCTGAAAAACAGAAAGTCACAGAAGTAGTACAGAGAGGTCCCTGTGCCCTACTCTAGTTTTCCAGTGAAGTGATATTCAGAGAAGGATGCTGATATCTATACAATGTACTTTGTTACCTGCCTTCTAGAGGAGACTTCTATATTAACTCACCTTCAACGTGTTCCTATCCATTTTTATAAGCCAGCCTGAGCATGCCCAGAGGCATTTCTGTTATGCATGTTTCTTTCTTGAACTATGACCTTAAACTGAGCAGGGGTGTGCTCCTTAACTGATCATGCTCAGGAGAGTTGATTCAGCTGAGCATGCTCAGGGGTGTGCTCCTGAGCTGAGTGTGTGCAGAAATCTGCCTGATTTCAAGGCTGCTCCCTATGTGAATAGGTACATGCCCAGACTGGGGCTCTTTGTTACTGTTCCCATCAAACTAGTGCAGGGAGACGCATGTGACCACTACAGTCAAGATCCAAGACCCTGGATCATCATGGAACAATCCCCTTACCCTCCTCACTCATCACTCCGCTTTCCCGAATCACACCTATTATCTGTCTCATGCAGTCCAGGTTGGCTCTGAATTTTACACACAGCCAAAGATGACCTTGCACTTCTGATCCTCCTGCCTCCACTTTCCTAGAGCTTGCCAGGCACCACTATGCTCACTTTTGCGCTGAGCTGGGGATTCCTGCATGCTAGAAAAGCACTCTGCCAACTGAGCTACATTCGCAGCCTTTCATCTCTGTGATTTTGTTACTTTGTCAGTGTGATATGAATGGAATCATGTAGCAGGTAACATTCAGAGACTTTTCATTATGCATGAAGAGTTTGTTCATGTAGCAAGCATTCCAAGGGGAAAGGTATGCCTTTGTGGTTTCTACAGAATGTCACATGCAGAAAAACATGGAGTGGAAAGGACAAGAACAGAATCAGAGGAGGCCATGAAGAAAGTAGCTGTGGCGTCCAGTTGAGGGAAGACTAGGGTGAAGTGGTGTGGGTGCATTTTGAAGAGGATCTGCTGATAGATCAGTTGTGGGGAACAGGAGCAAAACAGGGAGCAAAATAGTATGCAAAAACTAGTTTACTTGTTAATATTTGCTGAGAGACAGACAAGGGAAGAGGGACATAGAGGGCAAGCTGGTCAGAAGTTGATTTTGTACAGGCTCAGGTAAGAAATGTCCACTGATGTCTGAGTGTAGGTGCTGACAGGTTGGGTAAGGGTCTGGAGTGCAAGGAAGAAGCTGGGAGATAGTGGTTTGTTTGAATCATCACCAGGTAGATGTGACCTCATAATTGCACCCAATGTTTACTGAAAACTCAGTAAGGGCCACAGACTCCTCTGAATATTTTACAGATTTCACACACACACACACACACACACACACACACACACACACACACACACACAACTTCCAGGAGGTAGGCACCACTATTATTCCAATATTATAGTTGAGACACAGAGAAATACAGGGACTGCTCAAGATGATTAATAAAAAACAAGAAGGGGCAGGAGATAGGAGACTACTTTTAGTCCATCCCTTTACAGTAGGATGTATCATATCACAAGGATAGTTTCGATTATTAGATAGGACTGAGGATATGGTACAACACTTGTCTAGCATCCACCAAAGAGGTGCTGCAAGTGTTTCTCAGTGGTAGAGTACCTTCCTAGACTCCCCCAGTGAGGAGTGAGTGTACCAGGCATGCATATTATCTTCAGCACAGCAACTACAAACTAGGTGGTTACACAAAGCTAGTTATCCCTTGGCGGTGACAATAATGGAAGAGATAATGGAAGAAGCCATCTATGGAGAGTGTTCATGTTCTGTTCCTCAGACTTGGAAGCAGGATTAGAGGGAACCAGGGTTTGGATTGAATATTGAATGCTTCATGTCTCTAAGGCAAGGGTGTAGGGTAAGGGAAGGGATGTGTGCAGAAGTAGTTGGGAATGTTGACTTAGAAAGCACAGCTGGCAACTCACCAGGGACCTGGTCCTGGGGACCACATTGATGTAATCCAGGATTGTGCTGCCCCGTGAGATCTTGGGTCTTGAGGTTTCCTTTGGGGTTTCTTTCTTCTGTAGGGTCTTCGCACTGAGGAAGTGCGAAGGAAGACTCTCTATATACTGTCCCATTTGCCCTCTCTCAGGAAGCCCAGATCCCAGGCCTCACTGCAGCTCCTTCCAACTCACGTGATAATGATGAGGCAGAGGGCCAGGAGGACTGTAATGCCAAAACCCAAAGCTGCTCCCTTGGAGAATGCTGTGGAACTTTCTTTATCTGCAAAAGAATGAGCACTTCTCATGTATGTGGGGATTTACACACAGCACTGGGCATTCTGGACTCCAGTTCCTGCTGCCTGCCTCCTGGGCTGGGTGTCAGGCCTTCCCTTCTGTTCCTACACACACACACACACACACACACACACACACACACACACACACACGGGAGGTCATGCTTCCATATCCTCCCAGCCACAGAGCCCTGTTGCATATCCCACTCAGCTCCTCCATAGGGAAGCTTAGTCCCGAAGGGCCCTTACCAGGCAGTAGCAGAACAGAGGCCCTTTGGGTCCCATGGGTGTTCCAGGCCTCACAGCTGAGCCAGAGGTTGGGCCAGAGCTCTCCACGGAGGCTCAGGGAGCTGTTGACCCAGGGTCCTGTGGAGCTGGAGGTGACCGTGAAGGAGACGTTGCTGCTGTTCCCCTCCAGCAGCCCCTCCCCCAGCCGCCAGTGCAGGGTGGGGGCGGGCCAGGCTCTGGAGGAGCAGTTGCAGTGCAGACCCTCAGCCTCCCAGGAGCAGGAGGATCTGGGCATCTGTGGGGGGTCTGTGGAGAAGGAAGAGAAGGGTCAGCAGGTATCCCCTCATCACAGGTCCCAGGTGTCCCTTCCCCTACTCACAGTGCACAGAGAGGCTCAGAGAGATGCGCTGAGCACCCAGTGGGCTCTGTGCAGCACAGGTGAATTCTCCCTCGTGTTCCCTCTGGACCAGAGGCAGCTCCAGCACCCCAGGCTCTGAAGACTGGCTTGGGAGCAGAGTCTGTGCCACCCCAGTCCAGCTCAGAGTGGCTGGGGGGTTGCTGTGGGTGACACAGACTAGACAGAGGCTTTGGCCCTCCAGGACCGGGAAGGAGGTGCCATTCCTGAGGATTTCCAACACTGAGGAGGACAGGAGGCATCATCACCATCAGGGCCATCAGCTGGGACACCTCCCATCCCCCAACCAGATGTCCAGCTTCCTGTGTCCATCCTTTCTACCTGTTCTGTTTGCTTGGGAAACAGTCACTCTCAGGTCCTCTGGGGGATCTGCAAGGAAGACAGGGAGCTGGCTCCAGTCAGGCCAGGGCCTGCTCCCTGGTAGAGCACCCCTCCCAGAGATGGAAGCTGTGGGTGGTGAGTCACTCACTGGTCCCCAACACGAGCTGCCTTCCCCGGTGGTCTGACTGTTGTAAGCTTCATGTCCCCCACCCCGTCACTTCCTTTTCCTCCTCAGAAAAGGTGTGGTGGATCACACTCACACAGCACAGAGAGGTCCAGGCTATGTTGCTGGAAGCCCAGCCTGTTCTCTGCTCGGCAGATGTACCGTCCAGAGTCCCCAGCTTTCATCCGGGGCAGCTCCAGTGCCAGGGTTCTGGAGCCCACAGGGCTGGACCAAGAGAGGACTCTGTGCTCCAGGCTCCAGCTCAGCGTGGCAGGTGGCTGGCTGTTAGCAGTACAGAGGAGGCGCAGAGACTGGCCTCGCTGGACTTCCAGATGTGAGGTATTCCCATGAGGTTCTGAGACCAAAGAGAGAGACAGAGACAGTGATAGAGAGAGAAGGATGAAGAGAGAAACAGACAGAAAGAGAGAGATGCAGAGATGCAGACAGAAGAAGGATGGACATTGGTAGATAGAGATGGATACAGACATAGGAAGAGATATAGACACAAAGACAGGGACTGACAGAGATAGAGAGACAGAGATAGACACAGAAACAGAGATAAAGAGAGACAGAAAGATAGAGGGTAAGGAAAGGGTGAGGGAGCGGACAGAGGGCAGGGGGAGACAGCAGAAAGAGTTCAGGGCTGCCCCCTCCCCAGACTTTTCATTTCCCAAAGAGGAGTGGACCAGTCTTACACCACCCAGGAGACCCTCATACCTGACACATTATCACAGAAAATGCTGATAGCAAGATCTCTGGGGGCACCTGCGAGAAGATTGTGAGCCAATTTCAGAGAGGGAATGCTTTACTCATCATGAAAAGTCCCTCAGGGAAAGAAAAGCACCACCATCCCAGGAAAGGCAAGTGACCAGCCAGAAATAAAGCAAGGCAGTCATTGCCTCGCAGGGCACAGGCACACCCAGGATGGCATGCCTTCCTCCACTTTTGTTTTTTTTTTTTTTTGAGTGTATGTGTATGTGATGAACATGCTTGTGTGTATAGGTGCACATACATGTATGTGGAAGCCAGGTGTTGATGTAGGGTGCCTTTCTGAATCATTACTGTTCACATTGTTTACCGAGGCAATGTCTTTCATTGAACTCAGGCTGCCAGTTGGATTGCCAATCTAGCTAGCCAGTTAGACTCGGGGCTTACTCTGCCTCAAAGCAATGAGATTACCACTGGGCCACCATTCCTGACCAGCTTTTGTGTGGGTTCTGCGAGTTCAAAATCTATTCCACACACTTGCGTGTCAAACTTTTTATCAGCTGTGTCATCTCCCAACAACCCTCCTTCTGCTTTGAGAAAAGATCTCTAGTATTATATGTGCTATGTAGCCAAGGATGATGACCTGGAACTCCTGACCCTCTAGTGCTGCTATACATATGTGCACCACCACCTCTCATTAATGTGATGCTAGGGATGGAATACAGGGCCTTGTACATTCTAGGCAAGCACTGTACCAACTGAGTTACATCCCAGTACCTACATGAACACTCCTGAACATGGAGTTGGGGGATTGTCTACCTCCCACTCCCAAGACTGAACAGCCCAAAGCACCATATCTTACTCACAGGCTATGCTTAGTCGGACTGTCCTCTGCGTGCTCTTTTTAGAGAAGGCCACCTGACATGTGAGTTCAGTATCATGGTGCTGAAGTCCTGGGGTAAAGCTGAGCACCGAGTAATAGGAGGTGTGTGGTCTGGTTTCTGGGAAGGAGATGGCGGCCCCCATCCAGGAGAAAGAAGGAGCCGGGCATTGCTCGAAGGTCCAGTGAAACAAGCAGACAATTGTCACTGGCTGCCCAGGTTCCAGGATCTCAGGAATGAAGACATCTGGCTTGTGAGTCAGGGCTAAGGGAGAGGGTGCCAATCCTGTGGCTCCAGCTGCCCTTCCCTAGAAGTTGTCTTCTTTGCCTCATGGTTTATCTCCATCCCTCCCGCAGTGAGAGACAGAAGTCCCTGCCATGTCCACAACTCTTACCTTCCACTTGCAGAAAGAATCCACCTAGAAAAGTGAACTTCTCAGATCCTCTCTCCACCCGGAAGAAATAATTTGTTGAGTCTCTCCACTGCACATCTTTGATCATCAAGGAACAGTTCCTTTTTGGAAGATCCCCCAAGAGCTGGAATCGCCCCTGGCTTGCTGGTTCAATTTTTTTATATTTGTCATTTGTGGCAACAAAAACTGTAGGTACTGGGTTTCTGGGGCCTTTGAACCAGTAGCCATAAGCTGGGACAGTGCCAACCCAGTGGTTCCCGGGGGTGGAGAAAGAGCAGGGCACAACAATACACAGACCCTCCTGCACCTTCACAGTTCTCGTCACCTGTAGGAAGTATCTTCTGTCCTGACCTTGAGACCCTGAGAGAGACAGAGGCTTGATCTGTAGCCCCATCCCCAGCCCCAACTCCAACTTGGGTCACTCTAGCCTGGAGCCCACTCACCTCCCATGAGCAAGGACAACAGAAACAGCAACAGTGACATTGTGGTCTGAGGAGGATCTTAGACTTGGCACAAGTTGTCTTCCTTCCCCAGCTGTGACAGATGGGGTGAGAGCAAAGGGGAAATGTAGGCGGAAGCTGAGCGCTGAGAACTGGTGCGAGACGAGGAGCTGCTGAAGGCAAGTTCTGAGGTCATTGGTCTCTCCTTTTCTCATCCACTCCATATCACTTGCCCACCCCATGTTTTGTGGGTCATTTGGAGCTTGGACATTTGTATCTGGTCCTTCCCAGTCATCTCTGGTGTCTGGGAGGGAAAGGACAGGGCTGTGTCTAGTCTGGGACCTGGATATGGATGGATGTAGGCTGGGGACTTTCCCTTTAGGTACCAGGTCAGTGAGAAAGCAGAAGTAAAAATTTTGGTGGGTGCCTCTTGAAAGGGGTCCTGGTGGGTGCAGCAGAGTGAGACCTTCTGGAAGGAGCTAGTCTCACCACATAAAACTCAGAATGCCTGGATAAACTGATGTACATTTTCTTTTTTAAAAAGGATAATCATTCTATTTCTTGTCTCAAATACCTGATGGGACCTAATTATGTTTTTCAAAGAAAGGTTCTGGTTTGTCTAATGTTCAAATGTAATTGGATATTCCTCACCACACTTGTTTTTCTTCGCCTCTCCCTTAATTAGGGAAATATAGACTGGTGTTAATCTTACCCCTTCATCCTCCCTGCTGAGCCACTGACACTTTGAACTCCAGAAGCACCCACAGGCTTCAATACAAGTCCCCATTTTTCCTTCCTCTTCAGTCAGAGAGCAGAAGATCCCACATGCAATTCATGCATTGATGAGATTTTCCATATTTGGGACTGACACTGGCACTATAAATCAAGCAACCTAAAGGGTGTGTGTGTGTGTGTGTGTGTATGTAATAAACTTTTGTAGGTTGAGTGTGAAGTGTTTCCCACAGGCTGCTGTGGAAGCTTGACCTAGATGGTGATGCTTCTTTGAGAGTTCATGGAACCTTTGGGGTGGGAAGGTTGACAGAGATGGGTCACTTGGGGGTGGACCTCTAAGGGCTAAAGCTATGCCCTGACTCCCTTGAGATGTGGCCAACTGCCTTATGCTCTCACCACACACAGGAAACAGGTTTTCCTTGCCACAATGGACTGTTCTTTTTGACCTATGAGTCAAAATAAATGCTTCCTCCCTTTAGTTTCTTCTGTTAGGTATCTGACCACAGCAATAAATAAATAAATAAATAGATAAATAAATAAATAAATAAATAATCTCAGTGTCAGACATCTGGGACTCATGATCTGAGCTCCACTGGGCTTGGCAGTGGTACCTCTCTGACTCTACTACATACAATGCACATAGCTTGTCTCCTAGGTTCAGGTCAGCTCCACATGGCTGCTGCTGTCCTCAGTGGTGATCCCATCTGGCATCTCCAAAATGCTGTGGTCTGCACTGAAACTGGGCTGCACCTTCACCAGTAGCCTCTCCTGGTCTCTCTTCAGGAACTGTGATCCTGTTATGTGTTGCCAAGATTCAACATCTCTTCATGACCTCTTCAGTCCTGGGGCTTCTGCTGCAGCTGAGGTGGCACCTCTCTGGGCCTCTCTTCATGGATTCCAGACCTGCCACATGGTGCCAAGCCTCATCTGTTCTCAATGACCCCTTCATATCTTTTCAGTGCAAGCTCAGTGACCAAGTTCAGCTGTCAGCCTGGGTTCCCACCCCCGCCTCTCTGGTACACAATTTCTGTGCTGACACTAAGAAATACTTCACAGAAGACATCAATGCTGCTGCTCTCTTCTTCTTCTTCTGTTTTTCGAGACAGGGTTTCTCTGTGTAGCTTTGGAAGCTGACCTGGAATTCGCTCTGGAGACCAGGCTGGCCTTGAACTCAGAGATCTGCCTGCCTCTGCCTCCCGAGTGCTGGGATTAAAGGCGTGCGCCACCAACGCCCGGCACTGCTCTCTTCTTAATCACTGATGATTTCTCAGCTCCCACTGACCAGCATCAATTGTCCCAGTAAAGCTGGGACTGAAAAAAGTTACACCTTTTTTCACTAATTACAGCTGATTCTTCAGCCCCAACTTATCAGAATCACATACTCTTAATTAAAGTATCAGACAGCTCCAATAGAGTCTTTGCTTCCTTCTGAAACTTTAGAAGCCAAGTCTCCATTGTTAGCACTGCTCTCAGTATTACCTTCTAAGTCCCCACAATAGATCATTAAACTTTGAACATTTAATGACTTTTCTAGCTCCAAGTTCCAAAGTCCTTCCACAATCTTCCTCAAAACATGGTCAAGTCTGCCAAGCCATACCCTACACCTGGTACCATTTTCAGTCTTAGGTTTTTCTATTGCTGCAATGAAACACCATCACCAAAAGCAACTTGAGGAGGAAAGGGTTTATTTCAGACAACAATCCATCACCCAGGAAAATCAGAGCATGTACTCAAGGCAAGAACCTGGAGGTGGGAACTGATGCAGGGGATTTGGAGAAATGCTCCTTATTGGCTTGACCAGCTTACCTTTTTATAGCACCCAGGGCCGCCACTTGCTCATGTGTTACATGACACACAATGGGTTGGGTGCACCCACATCAATCACTAATTTAAAAAATGCACTACCAACTTGTCTACAGGCAAATCTTATAGAGTCTATCTTACCAAATAACTCTAACTTGTGTCTAGTTGACAATAAACTAGTCAGGATAGTGTTAGTTGACAATAAACCAGTCAGGATAGTGTGGGCATGTGTTTCTGATCTCCTGGAGCTAGAGTTACAGGTGCTTGTGAGCTACCTAATATGGGTGTTGGAAACTGCACTCAGGTCCTCTGCAAGAGCATTGCATGTTCTTAACCTCTGAGCTAACCCTCCAGCCCCTCTCCCATGGTTTCTGCTTCAACTTAATGCTTGAGTTCTTGTCCTGACTTTCCTCAATAATAGACTGTGGGCCTGGAAATGTAAGCCAAATAAACCATTTCTTTCCCACGTTGCCTTTGGCCAGACTGTTTCATCACAGCAACAGCAAAGAAAATACTCATGGTCTTGTGATATTCAGAATAGATAATCTAAGGTAGTATAAGGGAAATCAGCCAATGGAATGATTTATACCAACAGTTTGTAATGCTTTCTTTAAATCACCAGCTGCAGTTCCCATGAAAATTAGGGGCTAGAAGACAATAGAGGAAGGGCAGGCATTCTTACAGACTTGGTCATAAGAGTGGCAGTGTTCAATGCCAAGTTCTCTGGTCTTGAGAGGAAAAAAATCACAATGGAATTAAGAGAGACTTCATTTCAGCAGAAATCGCAGAATTGTATGATAGAAAGCCCCTGAGAATCAGCCATAGAGGACAGAGTCTTCCAGCTAAGAATGATGCCTCTAATGGCTCCTCAATGGGTCCATATCTCTACATACTAGGGAGAAGTTTTCTTCTGAGGCCTTGCTTGACCTGTGAAAGCTGAGGGATGCAGTGTACTTCTTGCTCCATCCCCAAGGTGGGGTCCTCAGCAGGTCTGTGGACCATAGAGTCCTGCTGTTGACACTGTGTGGAGAAAAAGAAGAAAGTCACGGTTGGCCTCGGGAGCACCCTGTGAGGGCAGAGAATGTTATGGAAATGAATTCATTCCAATAGGATATTGGAATTTACTCTGGTAAATTACGTTGCTTATACTACACTGATTTATTTGTTCTTTCCACTTATTTAATTTGCTGCTTCCCTTATCCACCAATCACACATGCCTCTTTCTACATTCTATGGTCATCTACTGAAGGACCTAGGTGGGAAATATTATTTTACCCATTTTACAGACAGGGAAACCAAGGCTTACAGAGGCTGGGTCTTTTACAGGGTTACCAATCTACTGAACACGGACAAACCCCAGATCTCCCTGAGGTGTTTCATGTGCTGAAGATGGGTCATGTGACTCAGGTGTTAGAAGGATGAAGGCATATGCCCAATCTTCATGATGGCTGGTTTTGTGGTTATGTATGTTAACTGGACAGAGGTCAAAGGGCAGCCCTAGGTTCTCTTTTTGGATCTCCATGTGGTGGGAAGTCCTGCTACCATAGGTATGAGATGTCTGTCACAGACAATTGGGTGGCATGTCCTAGAGATACTTCACTGAACACAGATAGAAATGGCTGATGATTGCAGAGCACAGCCACTTCCTGCAGCTGACCCATTCTCCAGCTCTGATTAACAACGACTTTCTCAAAAACATCCTTAGCACACATAGTGCCCACCTCCTCTCCTCCCTTTCTCTCTTCAGTTCCTGTCCGGGAATGCATAATATTTTGGAAATATTTCTACCTGGCCATGAGTTCTGAGAGCTCAGAACTACTGTTGTCTTTTAGATGTTGGCTGATTAAAGCTGATTAATGCCTGGCCTTGGTGGGGAATGGCTCCTATTCTGTATAACAAAAGACTTGGGCCAGGGCGAGTCAAAACTCACCCTGAGGGCTAGTGAGAGTGCTGGTGTAGAGTGCCTGAGGGTTTGAGTACATGTTGTAAAGAAGTGTCTCTAGAATTAAGGGAAATATTTGCTATCAGCCCTTTATACATGATAATAGATGTCTTCTGCCATTGCCCCCACCTTTGGATGGTTACTTAAGATGATGCTTATATAAACTGTGGCCTTCAGTATTAACTGGGAGCTTTCCTGATATGACCAGATGTCTCTGTCTCGTCTTTACCGCTGTTGGGTAGCTAGACTTTCCCTCATCCACACTCCCCCACACAGAGCAGGTCCCCGGGTTTTTCAGTTTGTCCTGATTGCAGCCCCAAAGACATCAGACTGGAATATATGGTCCCTGCAGCATAGGGCTAATACAGTTCGGACCACAACAAGTTCCTGCTGGTAAGAGGTATTTATTTCCCCTCAGCTCCTAGACTTTTGAGTATCAGGATCAGCTTGATCCACTTAGTTAAATATCAATGCCATTCTTACCCCCGGCCTCCTGCACTTGTCTGTATCTGAGACTGACACTTAGTCCCTTCCTTGACACCTCATCATCACCTGTGACCACCAAA